TTGCAACATCAACACCCTGGTGGTAACATTCAAGTTGGTCTTGGCACGTTGCCAGTCAGTGAAGCATATTGTTGTCTCGTTACGAGGGAATACATGTGCATGCATTTTGGTGATGTCGGAATACCTGCCCTTTTCCTGGGGTTGGTGGCAACGTGCAACGTACAACCCCAACCCGTAGACCAAATATTATAAGTAGGGATAGGTAGCCTCAACCACTTGTTCATTGTGCCCCGGGCGTTTGCGTCTTCAGCTCTTCCCCGCGTTTCGTCTACTACCTAGCGCGCAGTGCAGTACATTTGGGTCCCCCACGACCAAGTCGAGACCGCCCTGATCAATCTCGCTCAGCAGATAGGATGTGGAATCCGTGGCGCGAGAACCTGAAAGACACGCCGAAGGAGTCCCTGAACTGGCGTCTCTGGTATGGCGTATTCGGTGTGTATATGTCTCATCCTCTCCTCCACTGCTCGCTGACAGCCCTCAGTCTTTGGTCTCATGGGTGCTGCCCGTGGCATAGATGAGGGCCTCATCGGCACAACAGCCGAGCTTCAGCCCTTCATCAAGAAATTCGGACTGAAAGACGCTAGCAAATCGAAACATGACCAGGCGGAACTTCTCTCCAACATCACTTCCATGGTCCAGATGGGCAGTATCCTCGGAGCGCTTATTGCCTTCTACTTGACTGATAAAATTGGACGGCTTTGGGCGACCAGGCTTTTGTGTCTGATATGGGCGTCGGGGATTAGCATATTCCTGGCTAGCTCTGCGACCGGTAATATTGGTATGGTTTATGCTGGAAGATTTATTGCTGGCATTGGTATTGGACAGACGACTGTTGTTGCTCCGACTTATCTTGCGGAAACCGCCCCAAGAGCTATTAGAGGACTCTGTGTGTGCGCCTTTGCCGGAGCTGTGTATATGTGAGTGTCAGAGTCCTGCATTAGTTCTTCTCGGATATTAACGTCATTGTAGTGGTATCATGCTAGCATACTTTGCTTCTTGGGGTTCCTCAATACACATCTCCTCAAAAACAGACGCACAATGGCTTGTACCAAACAGGTACGCATATACCACATCACACCCAAAACCATACTCACCACTTCCAGCATGCATCTCATGTTCGCCGGCATAATCTTCACCCTCTCCTTCTTCAGCCGCGAATCTCCCCGGTGGCTCATCAAAGTCGGCCGCCATGAAGAGGCTCTAAAGATAATGTCCGACCTGCGACAACTCTCCCCTGACCACCCATATGTCCAGAGCGAGATCATCGACATCAACGACCAGCTCAACCGTGAAAGAGAAGCCACCATGGGCACATCCTGGATGGGACCCTTCCGCGAGCTGATCTCGAGCAAGGCGAACCTCTACCGTATCCAATTGAGCGTCATGAGCCAGCTGCTCAGCCAGTGGAGCGGCGCAAACAGCATCACCATCTACGCCCCCCAATATTTCGAAATGATGTACGTCCCTCTCGACTCCTTGACCCACGCAGAATTCTAACATTGCACAGGGGCACAACCGGCCAAAACGAAAAACTCTTCGCAACCGCCATCTTCGGCGTCGTAAAATTCGTCTCCTCCATGATCTGCGCCTTCTTCCTCATCGACTACATCGGTCGCAAACGCGCGCTGTCCACCGGCATCACGCTTCAACTCCTCTCCATGCTCTACATGGCCATTTTCCTCCTCGTCGACACGAATATCAAGTCTGGTGATCCGGAGGCGAGCCAGACGCCGAGTCAGAAGAGAGCGGCCATGGGCGCTATCGTCATGATTTATTTCAGTGGGTTTGGATGGGCGTTGGGGTGGAATTCGGTACAGTATTTGATCAATAGCGAGATTTATCCGCTGAGGTTGCGCGCGTTGGGGGGGAGTATTGCGATGACGTTCCATTTTGTTAATCAGTATGGGAATTCAAAGGTTTGTCATGTCCTTTCCCTACAGAGGTTGTTGGGACGCTAGCTAACCGTGTGATAGGCCGTGCCCCTCATGTTCATCGCCATGACCACCGGCGGTACCATGTTATTCTTCACATGCGTCACTACGCTCGGCTTGATTTGGGTGTGGTTTTTCCTCCCGGAGACAACGGGGAAGTCGCTCGAGGCTATGGATGAGATGTTCAATCTGCCATGGCATCTTATTGGGCGGAAAGGCGCTGAGCTTACGAGGGGGAGTGGGGGAATGGCGGATGTGTATGACGCGGATGGGGGAAAGGAGTTGGACAAGTTACCCGATGCGAGGATTGAGAGGGTGTAGAACTAGGAGGAGGAAGAGGAAGAAGAGGGTTTGAGCAGGTTGGCGTTTTCACGAGCCCCCCACCTTGCCTAGTTCACATATGGAGTATGAAGGCAGCGCAAGAGAATTAGAGCACTTCCAATGAGAATTATGAGCGCTTGCCCAGACCCTTCACATACCCTTCGCAGGCCGAACCATAGCATTACACTCATACACATATCCCACATCCTTCCCTAAATCTTTCGCTGGATCATATACAAACGTCTTGACGGTCCTGAACCCGCATTTCTCGTACATGGGCGTGCCCTCTAGACTTGCTTCTACGTAGGCTTCGATGCCCATTTCGTCGGCGCGGTCGCAGCCCCATTGCACGAGGAGGGTGGCGGCGCCGCGGCGGCGGTGGACGGTTTCAGTCTGATATCGTTAGTTTATACCTTGAATGGAAAGACTGGGGAAGATATGAGTAGGATCGGGTTTTACCATTAGGAGATCGAGCGCTATAAAACGTTAGTACGAATTCAATGCACAATATCGCCCACCATCACAGCGCACAGAATACAAACAGGAATGGGAATCCACGAAGGAATGGTAGAGGAAGAATAGCAACATACTCCAATAAGCCTTCCTCCCCATAACCTCCCTGGTAGTCCCCATCAAATACCCATACAACCCATTCCAAAGCTCAACATCGCTTTCCAACCACGGCGTTGGTATCGTCCCGAGTTCCTCATCCAATTCTTCTTCTGTCAATCCACGTATCTTTATTCCTTTTCCACTTCCACCTGCCTTTCCCTCCTCAACACCACTCCCTTCAACTGGCCGACCAACTAATCTCCACTTTGCCGCTGCAATAATCTCCCCGCCCAGACTCTCGTCCTTGACTACGAGTAGAGGGCATTTCTGCCCCACCCAGTCTCTTACACGGTTTTCGATGTCGGTTATGGTCGCGGAGTATGGGCCGTCGGGTTGGAAGACGAGTTTGTTGATAGTAGGGGCCAGCGCGGAAATGCGGATGCGGACGAAGGAGGGGGCTTCGGAGGGGAGGAGGTGGTGCAGGGTTAGGGTGGGGGAAGGGGGCATTGTGGGTGGTGGGATGGGGAAGGGTGAGAGCGTAGGTAGAAGAAGATAGATTAGTGGTGGGGTATGAAATTAGGTGAAGGACATGAAGCAGCTTGGTATGATGGGATTGGAGGTTGAGTGTTGTATTTAGTGCAGGAACAGAATGTTCAGATTGTTGGCGAGGAATGAGGAGTACGGACAGGGAGGTTGCGCGAGTGCAGAGCATTTATTTTCTGGGTTTAAAGAGTGAGTATTGATTGGGTCCGTCTTGTCGCCTCACGCGCCTACTATTTATTGATCGGCGTAGGGAGAATATGCATTGATGGAGGATCCAGTCCTCGTATTAGCACGCTTAGCGTAGGATATCATCCTGCTCGGGATCTCCATTTACCTGTGTTTGGATGGAGGTTGACATGTGCAAGGATTTGGATAGGGTGCCTGGAGGGGAACCCCGCTCGCCCATCCTACGCTAAAAGATCATGCATGTGTATGTGCAGGGAGCTGGAAAGGGTAACGTGCGTATTCGCCATGATGCGCACAGTTGTGTGGTGTTGAGATTGGAATTCTGGGACGCGAACATTAGAGAGCGCTGTCCTGTGCATATGTTGAGTCCCATTCTCGCTGGCACGAATAGTTTATGTACTCTACCAAAACCACATCACATCCGTGTCAATCTTGCACTCTTTCCTTCTCTGCACGAAATAACTTGAGTCTACACCGTCTAAAACTAAATTCCCTCTATCCCCTTCCTTCTGCAACACCCTCACTCCAATTCTCTAACGCCCATCCACCGCAACCATGTCCTCCAACGACCTAAAAGCTCTCACTACTGCAGCCCAGCAACTATGTGTATTCATCATCGCCCAGATATTAGCGGATATCTTCTTCGCCTTCTTCCTCACACCCTCCATTCTTGGGATGCAGGCCGGCATTCTCACAAGCGAGAATCGCTCTGAAGATCCTATCATTCCCGGGGTACTTCTCGTTAGTCACCGTACTGCCATAGTTACCCTCTCTCTACTAATTTTTAGCCTTGTAGGTGCTCGCATCGAAACTCTATGCGCTAGACTCTATATTGAGTGGCTTCCGCCTGTATATTAGGAGCTTCAGTACCGACGAAAAGGATACCGACGACGAGAATGAGGCGTTGCTTCCTGACATTGAGAAGAGCGTTTTTTTGAATCGATAGTTTATGGGAAGTTTCGAGGTTGTTTCAGCAGGGACTTCTGTTTCATCTTGGATTTTATCTGGTGGAGGCTTGGTTTTTCGGCTGGGCTGTGGTATTGTCAAGGCATGTGCTAGAACCAAGTTCTGGCGTTGTTGCAATCCTCTAGATATTATGGAGGGCGGAGATCATGAGTATGGGGTTGCTTATGAAAACATTTCAAGAGGTTATGACTTGTATTTTCCAAGCAACCTTTCATTTCCTGTTGCTCTCCAGACTCTCCCATGATTTTGCAAGCGGCGAAGTTTTTGGAATACGTTCCCCTCATCGCTGCTTGCATGTTGAACTCGTCGGCGTCTAAAGTTGTCCATCACTGCACCAGAACGGTATTTAACCGAGAAAGCATTTTGGATCATCCACTTCCCTGCTTTCTACACTGTTTAACTTCTTTCTTACTTGTGTTGATGTTGTGCAAAGTTTGGCACGGTGCTCTTGGCTAATCTCCCCAGTTGGAAAAGTGAGCAAAAATTGCAAAAAGAAAGGGACTCTCCCTCGGGGAATCGAACCCCGGTCTCCCGCGCTTGTTTAAACGCTTGGTTTTGACAAGCGGAAATCATGACCACTAGACCAAGGAAGATGAGACTTATTTGATGGCAGTGATGTATTCATTTTCACCATATATAGAACGAAATATCAGGTGGGCAGGCTTACCGGTTAATTTTTCGGCTGCCCAAGAGCTACTAAATCTTATCAGCCGGCGCACGGCCTCGCCTGACGCACACCCACACCGGAATTTACCGAATTTTGATATTATTGTAACTCCACCAATATGGACCATATCGAGGAAGCGCTTACACATTTAGAATCCCTAGAGCCAGGAGAATCATTTAGTTACACTAAAGTAGCTAAAGAATATAGTGTTGAGAGAAGCAGGCTGTCAAAGCGCTGGCGAGGTGTCCAGGGCTCTTATGCTGCACAGTACGAAAATTAACGACTACTTAATAAACAGTAAGAGAAGGAGCTTGTAAAGTATATTAATCACCTCTATAGCTGTAGCCTACTACCTACAAAGCAATAGCTATGCAACTTCGCCTTAGAAATCTATAGTAGAGAAGTAGGTAAAGCCTAGCCAGATTACTTCCTCAAGCATCACGAAATCTCTCTAGTTTCTCACTAGACCTTTGGCCTAGATTGCGATAGGAAGAGTGCTAATTCAGCCTTTAAATACAAGCTCTATTTTAAGCTTCTTTAGTAGAAGATTTAAGAGTATGGGGTACAGCTACAGCATACCTACAATATAGATAAGAAGGGCTACCTTATTAGTATACTCTTAAGAACAAAGCAAATCTTCTTAAGATAGAAGTATAAGGAAGGTACCCTTAAGTAGGCTATTTAGGATGGCAACTGTGAGTGGATAACCTGTATTGCTTATATCTATACTAATAGATCTACCCTGCCTCTAAGCCTTATCTATTAAGCTACTACTAGTAATATTTAAGATAGCTGGCTATAAGACTTTAACCTAGTAATATATACTGCCTTCTTTGCCTTATCTCCAACAGGCTGGATAAACAACGAGCTAGGCCTACACTAGCTAGAATAGGTATTTAACTTAAGAACAAAGAAGTTAGCCTAGAGGGCCTATAGGCTCTTAATCCTAGATAGCTATAGATCTTACGTCTCTATAAAGTTCATTAACTACTATAATTAGAATAAGATTCTACTAGCAGTATACCTGCCTTATTTAACCTATATACTGCAGCCTCTTAATATAGGCTTATTTAAGCCTCTATTATTAGCTTACTCTAACAGCCTAGCAAGATTTATACATGAATTAATAGGATTTACAGCCCTTACAAAGCGAGACTTCTTCCACCTATTTAATAAGGCCTAGAAGATCTCATTCACAAAGGAGAATATACTCTTAAGCTTTAAAGCCTATAGTATAGAGCTATTCAACCCTTAGAGAATCCTTACTTAATTTAGTGAGCCTACTAGTAGCAGGCCTTCTTCTAGTAAGAGCTCTTGATTAGTTCTTACTGCTCAAGATTGGAGACGTATTAAGAAGCTTCTTAGTAGCGTAGTTAGTAATATATATGATTAATGAGCTAAGCAGCTTAGTAATACAATCTATAGTCTCTCAATCCAGGTTATAACTCTCTAGATGGAGAATTAAGGCCTAAGCAAGGCTCTAGTCAATAAGAAGAAGAAGAGGAAGCGTAGCAAGGCTCTCCTCCTTAAAGCTCCTACATGGTACCATAGTGGAGCTGTATTCTACAGTCCCTGAAAGGTTCAGCAAGCACGTAAGCAACAAACTAAGAAAGATACTGCAGCAGAGCTTCTACGCAATAAAAAAGAGGAGAAGGCAAGGCTTAAGGTGACTGAGAAGCTTGAGAAGGCTTAAATAGCTGAGGAGAAGAGATGTATAAAGGCAGCTGCAAGGAAAGCTCGACAGGAAGAGCTAGAGCAAAAGCAACTCCAGAAGCAGGAAGCCCAGCTCACTAAGTAGGCTAACCAGCAGCTTCAAAATGACTACAAGGCAGCTGGGAAGTCTACAAAGGCTCCTCAAGCTCACAGTACTACACGAGAGCAGGTAGTCAATGAGCAATCAGTTATTGAAGTAGTAGAGCTGCCGCAGCAGCAGAATCAACGAGGTAGAACTATCAAGCTCCCAGATCGCTATTGTAACTAGCTAGTACGCGCAATAGAATCGCCATAATTGATTACCTACTCCATCAAAAATCTAGATCAATCAATCAACTACTCAGTGCTGTAGGCCCTTAATTGTAGATGTGCTGCACGGCAAATTCCGTGCGTCAGGTGAGGCCGTGCGCCGGCTGATAAGATTTAGTAATCTACAACCAGATACGAACAGCTTCCATTCCGCGCTAACGTCCTGCGCTAACGCCCTCCGCAAAGAGCTGCACGATATTGAGCCCATGCTTAATAATATTGTGCGCTTTAAATTGCACATTCAACGCAGTTTAGAGGCGTATGAACAGTCTATTGCGGATGATGTGGGGATGTTTTCAGTCACGTGAGCGTTATCTGCACAGGCGGGGTGCGGTTTATTGAGGGAATTACGCTCAGCTGAGAGTCGCGCATCTTCGACATAGACCAGAGATAGCTCGATGTCATTCATCCCTATCCCGAACCCGTCATCCGATCTTCGAGATACTATCCAACACAACGCCTAAAGCTGCAGCGCCATTCTCACTACGGGCCGGCGAGACACGCGACCGCAGGCGCGTTAGGATTCATAGTAGTAGCGGCAGGCACAGTAGGTTGGGTAGCCAAGGGCGCTTCGCTCGCAGTTGGCCTTCTTCTACCCGTTGAGGATCTGTTTTTATATTGAGTTATACTAATCCTAAATCATTACGGAGCAAATAACTAGTCCAGTGGTTTTAGCTTAGGTCTCTATTGGGCATGACGGGCCCTAGTGTATATAACAACCCAGATGGTCATGACTTGATCCTCTAAGAGAGGACTCGCAAGCACTTCCTGGTAGGAGAAGCTCGTTGGAGCTTGGGAGGAGGCAGTAGCTTCTAGTTATTAGATGGTAGTTGTAGTAACATGTTGTGCCCGTGTATCCTGCCTTTATAAAATGCAGTTAGTTCTCATCCAGTAGCGGGGGCACTATCAAGCTTCTTTACCGTTCACTCTCCTAGGAACCAGCTGGGAAGCGCGCATCTCCATACGTAAGCCAGTAGTACACACTATTGGGGTAGGTTTCTCTCGTATAATGCTACTTCAAATTGGCGTTATTAATCTAGTTTATAGTATACGTTATTGTGTAGATTAAGGGAAAAAGTTAAAATCCTAGGGCTTTAGCAAGAGAGAGTTGTTTTTGAGGCATAAATTAACTTTTACTATATAACCTTTATATAGTATAAGTATATATATTAGATCCTCTTAAAAAGGTAATTATATAATATATTATAAAAAGAAGATCCTATTTATAAAATAATTACTTCTAGTAATACTAAGGGACTTTATTCCCTTCCTTCTTAAAACTATTAATAGAAAATAGAGGTAATAATAGTATAGAAACTAGTCTCTATCTAGGCTAGTAAATAGGTTTATAGTTCCTATTAATAGGTTAGAGTTAGGTTAGGGTAGTCTAAGTACTAGGTTAGGGTTAGGGTTAGGCTATATAGACTATATATTAGGGTAGGTTAGGGTAATTAAAGCTTAGGGTTATAGTTAGGTTAGGGTAATTAAAGTACTAGGTTATAAAATAGGTTAGTAATTAAAGTATCTACCTTAGGATATTAATTAATATTAATACTATAATATAGGATATTAATTAATATTAATACTATAATATAGGATATTAATTAATATTAAGGTACCTTAGGATATTAATTAATACTAAGTTACTTAAGGATATTAATTAATATTAAAGTACTTAAGGATATTAATTAATATTAAAGTACCTTAGGATATTAATTAATATTAAGATATTAAGGTAGTTTAGGATACTAATTAATATTAAGGTACCTTTAGATATTAATTAATATTATTGAATAGACTTCAACGTATACTATAGATAGGTAGCTCTATCCTAATATATATATCTATAGTGTATATATATATATAGGACGTAACTAGGTAGTATATAATTAGGGGTTGGTATTATTTATATCTATCTAGAGTTAGACAAAAGCTTAGCTTTCAGGTACCCCTTACTAAGCCTCTATGTAGTTAATTACATAAGGTAAGCTTATGTAATCCTATACATAGGCTGGTTAATACCCCTAAATTATCTATATACGGATACTAGCAACTTTTTGTTTTATTAATTAAGTTGCTTTATCTATACGTTCCTTTAGTTATAGTCTCTAGATACCTAATTGTAATATCAAATCTATATCCTCCCTTACTAGCCCTATATATTATATAAGCCCCTTATATACCTTAGGTTAGGAAGGTTCACCTAATTTATCTATACCCTTATCTAGGGTGGTTAGACATTAATCTTACCTAGAGATAAGGCTCTCTATAAACGCTATTTCTACTAAGGGGTTATATAGATGTAATTTGCTAGTATATATTAATTAATAATTAAAATCTTGCAGTTCTAGTACCTAGTCTATACCCCTTATAGCTTAGGCTCCTATATAAATAGCTAGTGGAGTTGGTAAGTTAGTATAGAGAGCTTCTATAGCTAGATCTAGTGAATAGCTAGAGTATATAAATAGTCCTTAAGATTAAGTAAGTTAAAATATACTTATTAGGACGTAGTGTACGAATAGAGGTACGTTAAAAGAGGGGTTAAGTAAGTTATTACATTATAGAGTATAAATAGAGGTGTATTAGATAATAAGTTAATCAACTAATCTATAAGGAGGTATAAGTAGTAATTACTATTATTTAGGGAGGCTATCTAGGTATAAGATTCTAGGAGATTTCCCCCTTTTTGCTTCTCTTCTTTATTCTCTCCTCTATATCTTCTTCTATACGTTCTAGAATCTAGCAGCTTTTTAATTTATTAGTTAACTTATGGTAGACCTTTGTATAATAGCTCTTTAGCCTACTCCTACCTAATAGGGCCTTGCTGGCCCTATAGCTATTACTATTACTCTAGGTAGCTGCTGGTAGGTTATCCTACCTACTAGGACCTAGTAGGGTTACTAG